ATAAGGAATGTGTTTAGTATTTCCACTTTTCTACTAATTAGAAGAGAAATACCAACTCAATTCACTCTGAAGCATCAGCTCAAATGAGCAAACTGAAAAAGACAGAAACAGTAGATGCTGGAGGGGCTGTGGGAAGATAGGTATAGTAATATACTGTCCATGGGATGATGAATATTGTGGAAAACAATTTTGAATTGTATAAGAAAGTGAGTGTAGACCAGCTAAACAAAGTACGGCATATGAGTACAATGGAATATCACTCCGCCACAAGAAATGCTGATTTTGAAAAATTCAGAGAAACTCGAGAAGCCTCGGATGTGCTGGTGCAGAGCAGAGAACACGGCAACTGAAATAATTTTTAAAAAAGAAACGACTCTGAGACAGCAGGGTTCACATCAAGCGGTCATCGCTGGCTGGCTCCAGAGGGCCGGTGTTGCAGTAAACGGTGAATATGGCACTCCCTGTCACTAGCATCAGGCCCATCCAGTAATTTTACTTAATTGTTTCATTTGTTAAAATATGATGGTATTAGGGAGGAAGGGAGGGAGACACATTGGGAAGTGGTTGGACAAGATAATATAATCCATTAATAAAACCATGTTTAAGGAGTTGAATTATTCTCATTTTATACCTGGGTCTCAGGGAACACCAAAAAGTCAGGACCAGGGATCCCTGGAGCTGGGGAGGTGGCAGCATCGGATGCCCGGATTTGACATCCCACCAGCATTTGTCTGGATATTCACGCAAAAGTTTAGCATAGCAGAGCTTTGCCGGAGGTGGGAATGCAAACCTCAGAGGAAGGCGTCTGTCTGAGTGGAAGAGACTTCCGACCCCTGCCGAAGAAGCCCATGGTGACTGCAGCCAGGCTGCACCTGGAGGAACAGGCCTCAAGGTTGGTCAGATGAAGCAGTCCCCTCATGCCTGGCTGCCCTGGTCCCCGAGGACACCGAGAGCCCCGCACGCCCGCACTTGGTTTTGTCGAGCCGAAATTTACCTGGTGCTTGGTTAAATTGCCTTCCTCCTCCTTATGTTTTATAAATCTTATGTACTCAATTTGAAGCATTAATTGGCTTTTTTATTTAAGAAAATCATCACAAGGTCTCAGAGGTCTCCATGGCAACCAGTTGGAACCGGTAAAGGCAAGTACAGCCGCACAAGAGTGGGACTGCTTGAAATATCCTCAGAAGCAACACTGAAGAAGACAATAGTACTAAGAGGGAGCTGGTGGGTTCAGAACACCAAAATAAACATCATGAGCCTAAAATAGAGGAAGGAACACAGCTCTGGGCTACGGGTCCTTCCTTGAAGACACAGACCCTTCCTTCCCCTCTCTACCGGCTTTCAGAAGGAAGCTGGCTCACTTCATCTCCTGCATGATAGCATCTCTGTCGTCCCCTGCCATCACCCTCACTCCCCTTGTCAAGACTGCACTTTGTACAAGCACCCGTGGGTGACAGAGTAACGCCGCTGCCGCCGCCAGGTCTGATTGCCAAGATCTGTTTTGCCAATCACCAAGTTCAGTTGTTTCTCATCCCTTTTCCAAGCCCGTGATACGACACTGGCCAAGGTCTCTAGTTACAGTGTGTGGCTGTGAGAATTTCAGCCCTGACATTCTGTGCTCAGCAGCCAGGCCCAGGAGTGCAGTGTGGAGTTCAGACTGCGCGGGGCAGAGTGCAGGCAGGGCCTGCAATGTCCAGTGTTCATCACTTTTCATGGTGATGTCAGCACCCACTAGCCCAGGCCTATCAGTTGCTTCTTTAACGCAGAATTCGGAGACCTGGCAAGTTGGCAGCCCGTTGGGGACAAAAGTGGGCAGCTGAGTGGTTGAGTGGATAGCGGGCTGGGCCTGGAGTCAGGAAGATGCATCTTCCCAAGTTCCAATCCAGCCTCAGACGCTCACTAGCTGGGTGAGCCTGGGCAAGTCATTTCACCCTGCTTGCCTCAGTTTCCTCATCTGTAAAATGAGAAGGAAACAGCAAATATTCCAGTGTCTTTGCCCAGAAAACCCCGAATGGGGCCATGGAGAGTCGGACATGACAGAAGCAACTGAACAAGGAGCAAAAGTGCAGTGAGAAGTTAATTCACGAATTCAGCAGCATACATTCCTTCATGACTCTGTGCTCTTTTTGTTTTCTCAGTGAATTCCTGCATTCTGGAACATAACACACCACTGCATTGGGAGAAAAATTCTGGCTCATAAACAGTCGAAAATAGTCTCTGTGATAAGCCAATTCATTTCAGCTGTTCACTGCCTCCAAGGTTAATCTTCAAAGGGAAACGCTGGCCACCCGTCAATGCCTAGACCTGCTTTCCTGTTCTGGACTGGAGTTTCAGGGAGCTCATTCCCTAACCGTAGCCACTTCCGTAGAGGTCAAGCATTTGTCTCTGTCCTCTTATTTCCTAGGGGGAAGGGTGTGGTGAGTGGCCCTGAGGCATCCCTGACAGCCCCGAGAGGAATGGTTTGCCCAAATTGCCCGAGTCCTGAGTGAGAAGCAGAGTCAAGATTCCCACCCAGCTCTTCTTACCCAAATCTGATTCTCCTTCCAGAGAAGCTGCCATAGGTCTCACCATGCCTTTCCTGTCTGTCCTCCTTTGGAAATACAAAGCATCATTGGTCCAGTAGCAAAAATCTGCCTGCAGGAGATTACACACCAGAGACTCCTTGCCTTTAGGTCAAATACTTCTTGGTGGGCCCTCCAACAGGTGATCCTTAACATGCTTTTCAGCTTAGCTCAGCTCCTGGCACATGGTAAACACTCCTTAACTGACTGATTGATTGACTGGAACATTGGGGAGTCACCCCTTCCTGCATGCCCCCTCAATACTAACACAAATCACACCTCACCTTCATGTTGCCACTTGGAATAAACCCCACTATGTATTCCGAAATGTACCAACAGTAGCACCAGTCTTTGGTTTATTTCCTTTAATTTCTCATGATGGCTAAATTATTTATCAGAATCAAAGAGCTGGCCTTCTTTCCCACTGCCACGAGGTTCTAGTGAAGGACAACAGCCCAGCCCAGCTCCTCCAGCTGCTTGCACATGAAAATTATGGGTGTTAACTATTTTGAGAAATGTCCAAAAAAAAAGCATAATGTGACCCCTTTTCATTTAAACTGTGATTTCTATTGTCCTGTTCTGGGTGCTAGGCTTGGGCCCAAGCCTGGGAGTCTGAAGTGGTTAGATTCCTCTCTGTGTTTGGAATGTGGGAGTTGAACATTCCTAGATGGGAAACAGAAGGCACCCCGGCTCCCCCGGCCCTGGCATCTAACCCAGTCTCCTCAGGCCCCTGTTCTTCCCAGCCACTGGCTTCCTGGTTTCCTTTAACTCCCAACTAAAATCTCACCTTCAAAGAAACCTCCCAGAGACCCTTTAATGCCAGGGTCCTCCTTCTGCTGGTTACCCCCCAATTTATCCAATGTTTCTCTCCTTCGTACTGTTAAGTTGTTTGTATATTGTCTGTCCCATTCATCTGTGAGCTATTCAAAAGCATGGACCGTCTTGATTTAACCTCAAGTCTTAGCAAACTGCCTGGCACATAGTAGGTACTTAGTAAATGCTTGCTGACTATTAGCACTGGACACAATTCAGGAGGGGACTGGACCACGCCTCTTGGACTAAAGGAAGTTTCAGGGAAAGGTTCAGGATGGGTTTGTAGAAAGTAGATGCAGCCCCAACCTGACTTGCTATGATGCTGAATTCATTTTGCCTGCCAGTGATGAAAGTTCATTAATTTATCCGAGAAGCAAAGATAGAAAACGAAGGGGGAATCAGCGCTGTGGTACTCTTACTGCAGATGCAGACGCAGAGACTGGAGTCGGGTCTGGCCCCACTCTGGAACCAGCTGCTCAGGTCCTCTTATGATCATGGGAACACGATCATGTTTAAAGGTCTCAGAAGGGAAAGCTAAAGCCATTCTACAGGCCTGTGGCAAGGCTGCCATGCACCTCACACTCAAGAGGGAGACCCAGCACACACTAGAACTGAGCCTAAGTCCCTTCACTGGGCAACAGGCATCTGCCAAAGAGTGCTCAAACTGGTCTGGAGGGCTGGGGAGAGAGGCTCCTTCTACACATGGGGAGAAAGAAGATTTGTCTTACAAATCCCACCTGCTAGCTCAACAGCATGTCTCCCCTTCAATTTCCAGGCTAGGGAATCCAATCAGCTCTGCGAATGGGTTTTGCTTCCTAAGCCACAGACAATCCGTCAAAAGGGACACCCTGCCTGCAAATGACAGGCGCGACGCCTGCAATATACACAGCCCTAAACACAGACCCAGGAGGCAGCCAGTGAGGGCAGAGAAGCAGGACCGACCATCTACCCAGACCAGTCTATGGCTGACTGCCTGGCATTCATTCCTCTCTGAGAGCTCCTGGCTCAATGAACCCGCACATCCCAAGGACTGGCCCACACAGACAAGTCTCTAAGACTAAGCGTCCACTAACAAATTCCTCAGATGAGCCGGTATGTGCCTAGGACAGAGGAGGACCGCAGCACCAGGGCAGGTCGGCTCGTGCCAAATAACCTAGGATGACCCGTCCTGTGCCCCGCTTTCCTAAAGCTGAAGAGGTTTTGAGAGTTCGAGGGGACAGAATGAAGAAAGGAGAGGGAGAGAGAGACAGAAAGACACAGCCTGAGAGAAATCTCGAGACAGAAAGACAGAGGCAAGTCAGAGAAAGAGACACAGAGACTGACAGAGAGACAGAGAGACACTCCACCAAGTGCTCCCAGGTCCTGGGACTCGAAGTGGCACAGAAGAGCCGAACGTACATACCCTCCTCTGTCCCCGGCGGACCTCTCACATGCCCAGCCCAAGAAAGTTAAAGCTGCCCCCTCCGCTGCCGCTGCAGCCCCGGCCTCAGATAGCCCCTGCCGGGCACAGTCAGTCGGCCGGCCGACCGGCCGTGCGGGGGACATGCTGGGGAGCCTCGGTGCCAGGCGGCCGCCGCCCAGTGCCCGCTCCCCGGTGCCCGGTGCCTGGTGGCCGGGCTCACTCACCATCCTCTCGCTCGTCGAACACCGGCCTCTTGGCCGCAGCGCCCGTGGAGGACGAGACGGACGCTCCCATTCTTTTTTTCCACTTGCTCCAGTGAAACATTGGCGGCCAGGGCGAGCTGGCATCCCCGCCCGCCCGCCTGCCCTCCCCTCCTCTCGCTGATGCGGGCACGGCCGGCCGCCTGGCCCCTCCCGGAGGGAGCTGCCCCTGAGCGAATGTGGAGATGAGCGTGCGTGGGGTGTGTGTGTGTGTGTGTGTGTGTGTGTGTGTGTGTGTGTTTTGTGTGTTTTGTGTTTGTGTGTGTGTGTTTTGTGTTTGTGTGTGTGTGTGTGCGCGCGTGTGTGTGTGCGCGTGTGTGTGTGCGCGCGTGTGTGTGTGTGTGTGTGCGCGCGTGAATGTGTATGTATGAGAGCGCGGGGGCGAGCAGGAGCCGGAGCGGGGCCCGGGGATGCCCGACGCTGCTGCCCAGCCCCAGCTCCCAGCCGGCACACTCAGGGCCAAGCCGACTGAGCCCGGCGCAGGCGGAGCGTAGGGGCAGGGCGGAGGGAGGGGAAGGATGAGGGGCCCCGCCCAGCCCCCTGCTCAGTTATCTCTCCAAGGGAGAGGAGATTGGGGAGGGCAGGGTGCAGCCTGTCCCCTTCCCCCACCAAGAGTCCTCTTCCCCATCTTCTCCTCTCCCCTCCCCTTTCTACCAGCCCCTATCCCTTCCCTTTCCCTTCTCTCCTCCTCTGCCCTGCCTCCGGCTTAGGCCTTTTTCTATCTACCCCTTCCCCTTTTTTCCTCCCCCCTCCCGCTCTTGCCTTCTCGCAGCCACCCTTCCCCAGCGACAGAGCTCGGCCAGGGAAGGAAGAAATCACAGCGAGACCGTGTGAAAGAGCCCGACCAGAGAACGCACCCCGCCCCCCAACAAGGGTCAGCCTTTCCTCCCCCTCCTCAGGACACATTCTCCCCAAGCAGGAAATGTCTTGCCTGTTAGGGTTCTTGCAGAGTTTCTAGTTCATTTGACATCGGGAGAAACTGAGGCAGCCAAGTGAGATTCAGAGCATTACCCCATGTCACACAAAAAGAAAGTGCCAGAGTTTACCCTTACTTTTGAATCCCAAGGCCATGGCTCCTTCCGCCCCTGCCAGAGAATCGGAGGCCACCTCCTGCCTCCCTGCCAAAAGTCGCTGCCTGCGCCCGGGTCTAAATAGGCATGCCACAAGTCAGCCCAGACTTGGGGGGTGGGGTAGGGGCGGAACCAGAAAGTGGAAAGGTTGACCCCTTGTTCCTCGGACCTCAGGGGAGCAATTTGTAACCCCAACCGGTCCTCACCCTCCTTGCCTCAGTCACCCCGGAGCCCCTCTGAGGCCAGGTGCAGAGGGCACAAGGGTCCCAGCCCTGAGGTCCCCGGCTGGGCACACAGACTTCTGGCCCTTGCAGGTGGTCAGGAAAGGAGAGGGGAGAACTCAGCCTGCCCCTGTGGGGCCGGCCAGGAGTGAGCTGTGAACACAGTGGCCCTGGCTCTTTCTGGATCAATTTGAAGATCCCCAGAGCCTCAGGTCCAGTCCTTAGCTCCCTACTCAGGCCCTGGCACCATGCTATCCCAAGCTCAGTAGTTCACAAACTTCAGTCTTTCCCTGGTTGGGGAGTCAGTATTTCCATTTACCAGGAAAAAGCCTTTTCCGATGCATGAAGGTCTGGCCTCCAAGTCTGCCTGCTAGGTCCCATGGGTAAGTCCTGGCTCCTGATCTCCTCCCCAGCAGCCTGAGGGCCATGCCTAGCCCCTCATTCTGCCAAGAAGTTCACCTTTGACCCCAGTGTCTGTAGATCGATTTCAGGCACCTTGCTGGTCAAAGTCTCTTTTGTGTGCAGGGAGGTCAACCAATTCAGTCCACACGGACTAAGTGGGCACAACGGTGATACAAGGACAAAAACAAATAGGCCTGCCGTGCCCTGTCGGAGCTGACATTCTACCGTGATTTGTTCCTGAAGTTTGTGGGTGCCTGAACTGCAATGTTGTTCCCAGAGGACATCAATATCCCAAGGAAGACCTGCAGCTAGAATGAAAGGTGGCTCCTTGGGGGTGCCAAAACTCCTTCAGTGATCTGCACTGTTTATAAATCAGACTTGTGGAACCCGGATCACAAAAGTCCAACTCTTGGGCACGGGACGTGGGCAGAAATAGAGAATGGGAAACAGAAAGCTCCCCAGAAAGACAAACAAGAAGGGGCACCCATTCAGAACAAAAAGTCGGGGTTTGAATCCCTGCTCTGACATTTACTGCCTTTGTGACTTTGGGCAAGTCCCTTCCCCCCCTCCTCTGTAAAATTAGGGGGTTGCATTTGGACTGTCCCTAAGGCCCTCCCCTTCCTGCTCTAAACCCTGCAAACTCCAATCCCTAAGTTCCATGGTAAAGTGGAAGAAGGACCACAATGGAAGTGACTGCCCCTGAAAGGTCTTTTCTTGCTTCTTCATTAGCTCCTTGAGAGCAGGGATTGTTTAATTTTTGCCTTTGTATCTTTAGTACCTAGGGCAGAACCTGACACTGATAAGTGCTAGATAAATGTGTGGTGGATGGAATGATTTTCCTTAGAAGCAAAATTATGTTAACAGCAATTAGGCTAGTTTTTAAGGACTCAGAACCCCACAACCCAATCAGTCAACAGGTGATCCCTCTCAGCAAATCTTTCAAAGGTACATTGTATGTGTAGACACCAAGGCTAAAACCAAGGATAAATAGCAGAAGAATGAATGGCTTAATAAGTTCAAATAAAAATTTGTCTTCCCTTGAGCTTGTAGCAAATTGTCTCCCACACACCCTCCCCCACCACAAATTCCTTTCAGTGATGAGTAAGTGCTGGGCAAATCAGAAGTCAGTCTGACAATGTGATCATGCTCACTTAAGTTTAATTAAGTTTCAAGTTTTACCCTCTATTACAGAATTACAAAGTATGCAGTCTAAAAATCATTGGTTTCATTTTCCTTGGTTCCCAAGGTAATTTAAAATAAATTGTTTCACAAATTTGAAAACAGACTATTGTGGGTCCCCCCCCAATTTTTCCCCAGTGGAATATAAGCAAATGTGTTTTAGGAATAGCTACTTTAATGGGATGAGTCCTCCCCCATGGTCCATTATCCATAGAGAGAACTGAGAATTCTAAACACCATTATAGCAGCTACATTCATCTGACTAAAAGCTGAAAAAGACATTTCTTTCCAAACTCAAACATAGGAAACAGAGGGCAAAATGAAGATGGATAAAATGCAAAGGACACTTTCATACAGCAACCCAAAGTCTGACTCACCTAGAAATTCAATTGCTAGACACAGCATAACCAGGAAACCAGACCCCCTCCACCCCGCGGCTTCGAGACCCTTAACCAAAAACCTGGGTGATGCTGAACAAAAACCTGGTCAGATCCAAAGACCAATCCAAGGAGTTTTCTCACTATTGTACATCTCAAACAGTCCATCTGTCTTATCTGAAAGCTGGCCCCTTAATGGTAGGTCTGCTATTGTTTCCATGTTCCTTTGATTGTTCACAGACACTTGGGGGAGGGGCACACCTCTTTTTCTGATTTCAGGGAATTTCACCTGTTCACTCTCCCCCCGCCCAACTTGGAAAGTCCCTAATCTTTCATCCAACTACAGATCGGATTACCTTGTGTTATATTGTTTCTTTTTAATTAATTGGCCTTATTTGATTCATTGTTTTTAATGTATAAAAGTCTGTCTGCTGCTGTAGTCAGGGTCCTGACCTAAGCTGAGGAGATCTGGTCCTGGTATGCTGGACACTTGGCATGCGTTGCTTAATAAATCAGAATGCTCAGAAGATGGAACCTTTGTTTTTCTCAGTCGTTTCATCTTTTACCTGCCACAGTTTTTGGGGAGCCATGTTAGGTCAAGTCAGGACTAGGACCTTAGCCTTCCAGAAAAACTCCTAGAGATCTCTGATTAATTTTTCACTGAGGGACTTTTTCAGAAGACTGCCTCCCAGAGGTCAGACTCCTGCTCTTGCACATATTTTTTTTTCCAAGCTTGGGTAAGGTTAGGTTATTATTTTGATTTTTTACTTTAAGACTTGGCAGTTGCCCTAGAGATTGGGGAACTTTAGGTATGGGCTATTTGGGGGCCCACCCCAAGGACTGAGGGGTTTACGTTTGGATCTAGTTTTAGATTTGCCCCCAAGGAGTGGGGTGGTTTAGAGTTCAAGTTTGCTCCAGGGATTGGGGAAGTTTAGGTTTGGATTTTGACGCCCCCTCAGGACTGGTCTTTTCCCAAGAAATTTTAGGTTTACCCCAGAGACTGGGAACATTTGGAATTACCCCAGAGGTTGGGGAAGTTTAGATTTGGTTCACTCTGGGGAGTGGGTGGTTTAGAGTTAAGTTTTGGGCTTTTTAATATTTTTTCCCCAGAAGTCATGGCAGATGACAGATTCCTGCTATTCATGTGCTACCTCTAACAATGCCACCCCTACCCCTTGTCCCTTCTCAGTTCTATTTTTGTTATTTATTAAATACTCATTGCATGGAGGGTTCACTGTTGCCCCAATCCTTATTCTCTTAACAAATTGCAGAGCAGGAAATCAGATATCTCAGGTTATTACAGTTCTGTGCAAATTAAAAGTTAATAGGCTCTGAATTTGACCCTGAGTACAATACACCTGCTTCAGCAGCCTTTTGGGCTTTCTTCCGGTTCCTTGGTTGTATTCCAGAGAACTGAAGCTGCCACATAACTAGTTTTCATCCAGCAAAGTGTTGGGGTGAAGTAGTCAGCCTGTTTGCTCCTCTCTCTCCCTCTCACTACCTCTTTGTCCTGAGCCTCAAGGAAAGGAAAACCAGCCAGAAAAACTGCTAAAAGGCTGCAAAGAGTTTAGAATGGTGAGGAATATTAATAAAGTTTCACACTTGAAGCAGTTGTCACTGTAAACAGAACTAACCCATTTTAGGCTTTCAGTGGGAGATTAGGTTAAAAAGATAGTCTTTTAGGCAAACATACATTTGGCATTTGAACAGCATGGCCAGCCTACCAGAGTTCACACAGACTATGTGTGCCTGACCTGTGGTAGAGCCCTCTGAGCTTGTATTGGTCTGATCTACTGCAGTTAGACACACTGTACCTGGACTCCAACATGGGG